TGATGATCAGAGCCTGACATTAGCCTTTTGATAACTCTGATTTAGGACCGGTATTGCGTATAGACGCTAATGCTCACACATACACACACACACATTCGAGCAAATGTAGCAGATAATTAGCTTAACCACTCTATGGATTTATAGGTTTTTAATTTTTTGGGTTAATTGAGTCTATTTAAGAGGTGAGATAGAGCTGGATAGTCTTATTGCCCTGATGTTAACGTGATACTTTTACAGAAATAAGATCCAACTCTAATCTCGATCATATGATGGACGTAAGCTCAGCCCGTTTTCACTCGAAACGAGGGAGGTGGTCTCTTGGACTGCATCAACCTGAACGTCGTATAAAAGCCAAACGGCTGGAGTAGAACGGCATTCATTCGTCCTCTTCTGGTGAGATCGACCTACAAATCTCTTCTTTATTTATTTTCATACGAATGAAAGTCTCCCCAACAGCATTAAATTTCCAGAAAGCGATTCTATAAACTTAGACAATCAGTTAGCTGTAGCGACCTTAGATTCTATAAGGAGATAAGGACTTATAATTGAATTTTCCTTTAATAACAAGAGCATGCCTCATAATGCAAGTGAAGTTCACTTTTTCTTGTCTCCCTTAAGCTATTCTTGTCTGGAATGAAATACAGTTTCATACTCAACTTGGTCTTATTATCATGAACAAGGGGAATCGAACCATATTAAGGGTGCTGATGAAATCCAGAAAAACTTGACATCGCAGTCCATCAAGAATAAAAATATCTTCAGGGGGGTAACGCTTGGTGAAAATTGCTGGCATAATAAGACCTATTCAATGTATTTCGGGAAGAATTTACACCTTTAAAAAAGTTTACCTCTTTTATAATACTTTTCTTACCTAATATTCAAAAGCCCGTCTTCCATAATGCAAAATATAGACAGTGCTTTTAGAATCTGCCTTTTTAGTTTAGAAGGCAAACTTAAACTAAAGTACAATACCTATTTATTTCACCAGATATGATAACATAAAATGTATCCTATGAAAATGGTTTCTTTGGCTATAGTCACTTTCATAAAATTCAGTTTCCTTTCTTTTGGGGACCACAAATGAGGAGCCATACGAGAAGCTAGAATTAGGTACATAATAGTCGATTTGAGCTGCATGTTAAGAAGCCGTTGTAATAAAGTGAGTATGTTTATAGTCTATTTTACTGTATACATTGTGCTACACAGAATCAGTTCACTGAACAAAATGATTTTATTAAATAGGTTATAGGAAATTGCACCATTAGCCTGCAAACTATAGTTTGGAACGCGACTGAATCTCACCAGCACCCCAAAGTGGAACCGAACTTGGTTAGTGCGATCTATACTTTCCTCATATTTGGTTTTGATATGATCTAGACGAAGTCAAAATTGCAGTCCATTCTGGATGAAAATACTTTTATAAATGTAGCACCCTTCTATTGATAAAAACAAAGAAAGGTTTGTACTCCATTTGAAATTATAGCCTTTCAATGTAGATAAATTGCTTTATAAATACTCTTTTGGTAAAGACGAGGAACTATTAGATCCTTAGGTTTCTAGCTTGAGAAAAAATAACGATTCTTGCATATGTAATTTCATCTGATCCCCATATCAAAAATGTTTAAGAATGACAGTTTTAATTAGAGCTGAAGCATTTTCGTTATCCACTCGTAATAATTGAGTACTAACACTATGATCAAGGAGCTAGAAGATATTTCTGTTTTTCAGAGTTAGAATGCAGGTCTTTCGCTAGTTTTTAACAGGGCGTGAATGGATTTTAATTCCTTTAATTAGAGAGGTAGGCAGGAAGGAGACGAAGTGAACATAACTTGGCATGACAACAATAGTGAAGTTAAGATTGTTGAGAATCCAAAGTTTATCAATTTAAAAAATCTCCTACTACTATTATGACTCGTAAAAGTGAACGATGTAATTCACCTTGAATGGTATGCATACTTATAAGTTCAATAATGCTTTCTTGTGATTTACAGTTCCCACCTGATGCAAGAGAGCAATTGGAATAAGCTATCCGTACATAAAGCACCTTTATTCCAGGAGTTATCCTGTTTCCGAATATGAATAAAGCATACGCATTGGAAGGCCTAGATAAAGCTTATAAGTAGTTTGAGCTTAAAGGGCACTTAGGCCGCTGCCATAAAATGACTAAATGAGAGGTTCGCAGATTCGTTTAAGACATTTAGAAGTTCCATTGATCTTTGTCACAATATGAAAGCCGGAATTAAAAGCGAAATTTGGTTAAATGCTCTATGCTTTTAAATTAAAAGCCCCAACTCAAGCATAGGTCAAATATAGGTCAGTTTAGTCTTAATTCTGATATTTCATAAGCACTTTATCCACCGCTGGTCAGCATTTCTCTAGGCCAGATAAATGATCTTATAATGCACTCCACATGAAGCCTTCTGGCAAGGACAGGGCAGCCAACAGTATTTTCTCAATAGCAATGAAACCGGATCAAATCATGATATTTAAAATTCTTGTGTTATTGTTGCAATTGAAGTGGACGAATTCTAGTTTCGTGTATGTCAATCATAGGATGTAACGAAGCATGGGACGTATTCACCAGATTTAGAGGATGGTGTATCTACCCTTAAAAGGCTGCTAAGGAAAATGGTCAATGAATATACAATAAAATTGATCGGCTAATACTTACTCCGACCTTTCCCATAAGCCATAAATAAGCTCAGCGACAAAAAATTAATATAGTTGCCAAAAGGCAGGAAATCTTTTCAGTGAAGATCCTAACTTTTCTGCAAAAATTGCTTTCTATCTTGATTAGGGGATGGTAATGGCTTCATTAGCCTCAAAGCTTTGATTCACACCTTTCTAGATAAACTAATTTTTATGTAAGTAGGTCGCTTAAGGTGAGCTAATGACAGATAGCTGATTTTTCCCACAATGAATAGGTTTTAAAATGAAAATGAATTTCATTTAGCCTGCTTCCTAAAGGCTAATACCATTCAGTGTATACTGCCGCTTAAATCTTTTAGGTACCATCAGCATCCGCAAGTGAATTCAGTGACAAATCCTGAGTATCATGGCGACGTTTCCACTTATTTCATTGCGAAAATACTCCAATATTACTATCAAAATCACCTTTAGTGACCGATGAGGACTAAGCTTTTATTCAAGATCTGCTCGAAACCTACTTATGTAAAAACTTCATTGATTGTAATGAAAAATACATTATTGTTTAATCACTATTTCTACTGTAAAAACTTCAGTTTACCCTTGATGAAACCATTTTTAGGAGTGAAGTCTAAATGAAATTTATTGGCATCATGAGGTTTAATCAGCATATTGCAATAAAACTCAATTTGTCATCGTTATTTCACCTTAATTTACCTAAGGGGCTATGTTCTATTAGATAAATTCAAATGAATAGTATATTTCGTTTAAGTGCCATAGTCATGACAAAGTAAAGTAGGTTTTAAGTTGACGTAATGCATACACTCCGGAGGGATAGGCTGCTATTTATCCATCCATTCCGAGAAGACCAGAATACACTATACTAGATTATGATGTTCAATAATTCGTCAGAAAATAAAAACTTTCACCTAAACTATCTTAAAGTTTCGGCAAAACTTTTGAAATAATGGCTGATAGCTAGCCATTCAATAAGAAAGTATTAGCTTTTCTTAGGAGTATAAATCTAGTGAGTTTGAATATGAATCTGAAGGTGACGAAGTATGCTAAGATGTTTTGGAAAATATTCTTGCCATCAAACCTGCAATACGTTCAAGAAAAGTACAATAAAAGTCTACAGTGATAAACAAAATTGTGTTGCTTTTGGTTAATTTAACGTCTTCTTTCGCTGCCTGTGTTTGGTTTTACCTCGTTTCCGAAAGACACATGTTTTAAGGGGGATTCGAAGAAACTAGCCCGTACTGCGTCTAATGCCATTAGTATGAAATGTTCTTCCAGCATCAAACCGCTGGCCCGGAATAGGGCCGCTGAACGGTCCCTAATTGGAAGAATAAATAGCGCCCATGAAAAATGGCTCAATATGAGGTAGTTTTCAGAAGTCTTTCTGAAAGCACGACTACGAAACGGAAATGAGGCCATACTAAGCAGATATGTGACTGTCTATGGAAATTTATGCTGGTGGTAATAAACATAGTTTTACCTTATTGTCCTCATTATCTGGAAACATGTAAAAATGGCGCGTGATATCTCCATTCTGAACAATGGTGACTTGTCTGTTCCCTCCAGATCGATCATTTTCTTTCGGACGGACAAGCAAGTTTTCTTGAGCAATCTCTACCGTCGCAGAAACAACGAACCCAGTCTCGCTTGAGCACCGGTAATTGCCAGCATTGGACTGCTTTGCTTTGTCGATTCGAAGAAGAAGACGGCCACGATCATCTCGCATTGTATAAACATTAGTCTCGAACGGTATCTAGAAGAATGGGGGCAAAGTGTTTGAATGGAAAGTTCATCCCTTAACATAAACGGAGAATAAGCGGAGCTACGAATGTAGCAATAAAAGCAGTCGGAGGATTGACTAAATAAAAATATTTCCCATGTGAGGAAAATT